CCCCCCCGTTGTGGGCCCCTCCCTTGTGGGCTCCTCTGGGTGGGCTCCTCTGTGGCGGGCACCTCCATGGTGGGCTCCTCGGTGTGGGCTCCTCCGTGGTGGGCTCCTCTGGGTGGGCTCCTCTGTGGCGGGCACCTCCATGGTGGGCTCCTCGGTGTGGGCTCCTCCGTGGTGGGCTCCTCTGGGTGGGCTCCTCTGTGGCGGGCACCTCCATGGTGGGCTCCTCGGTGTGGGCTCCTCCGTGGTGGGCTCCTCTGGGTGGGCTCCTCTGTGGCGGGCACCTCCATGGTGGGCTCCTCGGTGTGGGCTCCTCCGTGGTGGGCTCCTCTGGGTGGGCTCCTCTGTGGCGGGCACCTTTTAAGGAACTTTGAGGCCACAACATTTTGTTTTTCTCCTTCATCTTCTGAGTCTGAATCACTTGTGTCCCATTCATCATCATCTTCAGAATCTTCAGCCCTCATCGTCATCTTCCATCTTGAGGACCTTACGACTTTCCTCAGAAAGAACATCTGATTCCTCAGAAAGAACATCTGACTCCATCTCCATCTCAAGAGCCTCTGAGTCCTCCTCCTCCTCTGCATCTTCACTGCAGACTGTCCAGGGTTCTGCTTGTAGTCTGTGGTACAGGACTCAACAGTCACGGTTGTACTTTCCGGTCTTGTCTCAAGGCACTCAACCTTGTCATTGTTTTGTTCATCTTCCTCCCTTCCGTGCCTCATTCAGGTAGTCCTCCAGGTCGGCCAGGATGTGGATGTAGAATCAGGGGACACTTTCCTTATCCACAGTATGCTAGCCTTTTCCGTATGCTTTTCCCAGAAGCGCAGTCTTCTAGACATTGGTGACATCTCGAATCTCCATGGCATTGCAAATGGTCCGAGTCAGGTCGGTAAGCTCCTCAAACCTCATCCTTGGTACTTCGGACAACTCTGTCTGTATCCTCCTCATCCTCACTCAGTAACAGACTGTTTGTTTGCTGTAGTTCTCAGAGACAGGTTTGATGACCAGCTCTTCCCCAGACAGGGACGACTTGGACTCGCTGTCCTAACTGGTGGTGAAGAACCCCAACGTGGTGATGGTGCTCAAGGGCCAGGGCTTGAGGCCAGAACTGGCTGAGCTGCAAGTTACACACTCCTGTCTTGGTTATTTTTATTGGGATTCTTTGAGTCACCACCATCATGTTTTCCTTCCAGTCTCATCCTGCGAGCATAGCTGTCAGTCATCCTGGGAGCATAGCTGTCAGTCATCCTGGGAGCATAGCCGTCAGTCATCCTGGGAGCATAGCTGTCAGTCATCCTGGGAGCACAGCTGATCAGTCATCCTGGGAGCACAGCTGATCAGTCATCCTGGGAGCACAGCTG